ACTCGTTCACTCACTCACTCATACACCTGACTCACGCAGGCGTGCATTCACTTGTTCACTCACTCACTCATACACCTGACTCACGCAGGCGTGCATTCACTCATTCACTCACTCATACACCTGACTCATGCAGGCGTGCACTCACTTGTTCACTCACTCACTCATACACCTGACTCACGCAGGCGTGCACTCACTTGTTCACTCACTCACTCATACACCTGACTCACGCAGGCGTGCACTCACTCGTTCACTCATCCAGTCACTCGCTCATGCACTCACTCTTGTATGCATGAATTCACCTTTCACTCGTTCCTGCACTCATACAGGATGAATTCACTTGTTCACTCACTCGTGCGGTCACTCGTGCATCATAAATTCACTTTCACTCATTCATGCAGTCAGTCAGTTATGCATGAAATCACTTGTTCAGTCATCCGTGCATCCCACTCGCTCATTCACTCGTTCGTAGATTCATGCCTTCACTCATGCATGTATGCGTTCACCTAGCTTTCGGCACTCACTCCTCCATTCGTGCATGTATCTCTCAATTCATTCTCACATGCATGGGCTCATTCATGCCTTCAACGCATGCATTCACCTGTGAATGCGTTCATTCCCCCCTTGGCGCAGACACGTATGGTTCATTCATTTCCTCGCTCGCTCATTCTTGTTTGTTCATTCGCGCCTCACGTGCATTCACACGCACATTCACACGCACGTACTCACTCATCCAGGAATATACAGCGCGTGCAGACAGCCAGTCACTCACTCTCGCTATGCATGCAACAGCGGAGGCCTGAACACTCAGTTATTCTCTCTTTCGTGCACTCATTCATTCATTCAGGCGTGCAAGTATGCACACGTGCATTTTTCATGCATTCGGTAACATCGCGTCTGAGCCCTGCCTTCTCCCTCTGGGAGGCTACCAGAGGAGCGGCCTCCACCCGGGCTGCGCGCTGGCCTTGGGCCCAGGGCCTTAAGCCATCGCAAACATTTACTTTGTGGCCGGCTGATTGAAGGTTAAATGTCCATACCTAGAAACCGCGGGCTGCAGTGGGGGCCGCTGCGGGCGAGGGGCGGGGCGCGGCATGGGGCGCAGCCCCTGGCGGTTCCCGGGTGTCTCTCCCCCGCAGCCAGGGCTGGGCACCAGGCGGCGCGCGGGCTTGTTTGCCGGCGGGGGCTGCAGCTTGGCGGAGACGACCCGCGCCTGCGGGGGTGGGCGGAGGCGGGGCCGCGCATCCGGACAGAAGCCAATCGATGCCCTCGGAGCCTCCAGCGCCGGCCCAGGGCAGAGGCCGCCGGACCGCGGAAGAGGTGCCGGGGGCTGCCGGGGGGCGCAGGGGGCCGTGGGTCGTGGAGGAAGCCTGGGTGCAGGGCACGGCCGGGGGGCGCAGACGCTGCCCCAACACCGAGAGGTCTGGGGCGGTGGCGTACAGCGGGGTGGGGGCGCAACCCGGAGGCCGAGGCTGGGTGCTGGGGGAGGGGCGACGGCTTGGAGTGTAGAGGAGGGGTGAGGGGCGCAGGGGGCTGGAGGTCAGAGGTTGCCCACGCGCGAAGGAGGGGAGGGTTGCGGGGCGCTTGGGGGTGGGTGCGCCGAGCGGGGGCGCCGAGTGCTGGGCAGTACAGGTCCAGGCGCGGCGGGTCGCGGGGAAACCGAGGCTACCCCAGGCCGGAGGACAGACGGGGGCGGGGTCGTAGGGCTGGGAGGCTTGGGGTTGCGGGCGCGGTCCCAAGGCAGAGGCTGTGGTAGCGCTAGGGAAGGGAGAGGTGCAGGGCCTGGAACGGGTTCGGGGGCGCTTGGGGAGAAGGGACGAGGGGCGCAGGGGTGGGCCGGGGGGGCACTGGAGTGACGGGGGAAGGGGCGTCTGGCCGGTGGGCGCGGGCAGAGGCAGCCCAACCAAGCTCGGAGGAGGTGCAGATCCCAGGGTCCGGGAGCGCAGGGGTGGGCCAGGGAGTGGACTGGGGGTGGGTAACCGAGTGGCGCCAGCTGGGCTGGGGAAAGAAGATGCCCAGAACTCCAAGCAGGTGCGCGGGGCGGCTGGGCGGCTGCTTATACCGCAGAGGTCGGTCGGGGTCCTGGGGGCGGTGTTGTTGCTGGGCACATGAGTGTTTAGACGCAGAGGGGTGACAGGTGACAGTGAGGAGGACAGGGGGTCAAGGGTACCCTGGCCAGAGGGCAGGAGGTTGACCTGGAGCGCCACGGAGGAAGTACGGGGAGTGGGGGTCGTGGGGGCGTCGGGGGAGGCAGGGGCCCAGTGGTGCATAGGTGGCCGGGGGTGATGCCAGCGGGGCCTGAAGCTGAGGGTGTCGGGACTGCCACGCTGTCGCCCGCAGGCCTGGAAATCCACACGGGTTCCTGGAGACGGTGCCTCTGCTCTGCGGGTTCGTGGTGGGGAAGTCCACCCACTGCTCCCCTGCGCCCGCCTGCCGGTCCACGCCCGCTGCACTCAGCACGGAGGACCATGTCGGGTGAGTAGCTCAAGCTCCTTCAGTTCAGCCTGCCTGTTCCTACTGGCTTGGGTGAGATTGGACTGCGCTGGGGAGAACCCCAGTTTGACCCAGGACCACCTCAAATCCGAGTCTCCCCTCACTGCCTCACCCAGGTCTCTGTGGGTGTGGAGAAACTGGTCCATCCGACGCTGCTGGAAATACCGGTGGGCTTCAGCTGCTGGGAGGGGGTGATTGGTAGCAAGTGAAGGCGGCGTTAGGATTTCACCAGTTCCCTTTGTAAGGTGTAGTCCTGGAAGTTTCACTGAGCTTGTTTCTTGGGAATAGCACTGAACTGTCTGAGATTGTCAGTGCCTGGAAGGCTGATGGTAAGAAGTCTTCTCCTAAAATGGCCCAAAAACTCTGGGAAAGGCTGTCTTCCAGTTCTTGGAGTTCAAGCCATCGGTTTAATTTCTGTGCCCAGCACAGACGCAGGGATGGCCTGGCTTGGTGGCTGAGGCCTGTAATCACAGCACCGTGGGAAACTGAGGCAGCAGGATCGCTTGAGGCCAGGAGTTTGAGACCGTCCTGGGCAACACAGGCAGACCACATCTCTAGGAAAAATTAAAATTAAAATTAACTGGGAGCTGCGGCAGGTGCCTGTGGTCCCAGCTACTAGGGAAGCTCAGGTGGGAAGGTCCTGAGCCCAGGAGGTCAAGGCAGCAGTGAGCTATGATTGTACCACTGCACTCCAGCCTGGGTGACAGGGTGAGACCCTGTCTCCAAAAACACCAAGAAACAAAATATGAACCCAAGTTAATGCTCCTGCAGGCAGCGGGCAGGCTGTCAGGAAAGGCAGGAAAGGCCTGCCCCCTGAGGACTGGCGAGCCCCATCTCTCTGCACTTGGTTCTGTGGACATCAGATAGACCATTGACTTCAGAGGCCTAGATATGAGAACATAGATTGTAACCTCATCCCATAAGAAAGATGCTGGTTCTATTTTTTATCATTAAATCTTTAAGACACCTCCTTGTACTGGACCAGACTGGATCATTCCCGAGTGCATTTTATGTATTTCTTTTTAAATTTTTTTTTTTTTTTAAACTTTGTAGAGACAGGGTCTTACTATGCTGCCCAGGCTGCTCTCGAACTTGTACGCTCAAGCAGTCCTCCTCCTTTGGCCTCTCAAAGTGCTGGGATTACAGGTACGAGCCACCGCGCCTGGCCATGAGTACAATTAAAAGAAATACACAGAACAGATTACTCTTTTATTCAAAGGAGAGATTTAGTAAATCACAGAGCTGCTTCCATCCTGTTTTCTCCCACTCTGGACTTAGAGAGGAAAATTGTCAGGGGAGGGATCTTAAGGGCTGTTTTCATGAGGTGTATTGGAAAACTTTGTTCCAAGGAACAGCAGAAAAGATTCTCTGTTCTAGGGGCGCGTTTAGAGCTCTCTAAAGTGAAAGCCACACATTTTCCCAAGCCTGCTAGGGTCTGTATAACAGCAGCATTCAAGACGGACATTCGGATACATCTTGCTCAGCTTCGTGCCGGAAGAGAAGATTCAACTCTGCAGAAAACAAAAGCCACCTTTGAGTAGAGAAGGGCTGAGAAGGAAGCTGCTAGGTGGTTTTGAGGGACGATTAGAAGATGCCTTGAGTGCAAGAGGGCAGGCAAGGGGTAGAAAGAAACCGTTGCCACAGGTTCATAAATTCTCAGCCCCTGCGATCTCCAGGCTGGACTTAATTTTGTGACAATATCTCCTTTTTGTGGGCTGGAGGGCAGTGACAGATTTTCTTGCTGTGTTTCTACTCTGTACTGCTGCCGAAAGTGCCCCCCGCGGTGGCACATGGAGCGGAAAGTGCCTCCTTCAGCGCAGTGGCACTGGATAACCGTGGCTGTTCTCAGCACCGCACCAGGACTTCGTCTCCAGTTGTTTCCTTGAGGCAAGGCGATGTGGAAGCTAAGCACCTGTCAATCAGTGTTCCTCTCTGTTCCATGGCTATCTGCTGATCCGTCTTTGCACTTTAGATGGGTTTTACAGTGTGCTGCGTGGGAAGTGGCTGACCTTCAGGAGGTGCACGTTTTTGTTCCAAAGCAAAAGGCTGAGTGTCGGATCCCTTGTTCCTGGAGAGAGCTCTTGTGCCAACTGGTGTTGTCTTGTCATTATGTGACTGTGGTCAGTATTCCACCCATGCTAAACCAAAGAGAGAAACAGAGTGTCCAGTATTTCCATAAAACTCTCACTCTAAATGTAGCCATGTCCGCGTTCTCTCTTGGGTTTGAGATCAAGGTAGGTATGGACAGGGCTGCTCCCTCCTGAGGCTGCTCTCCTAGGCTTGGTCCTCACAGAGTCTTCCCTCTGTGTGTGTCTGTGTCCTAATCTCTTTTTTTTTTGAGATGGATTTTCACTCTTGTCGCCCAGGCTGGAGGGCAGTGGCGCAATCTCAGCTCACTCCAACCTCCAGCTCACAGGTTCAAGCAATTCTCCTGCCTCAGCCTCCTGAGTAGCTGGGATTACAGGCACCTGCCATCACACCTGGCTAATTTTTGTATTTTTAGTAGAGAGAGGGCTTCACCATGTTGGCCAGGCTGTTCTTGAACTCCTGACCTCTGGTGATCCACCTGGATCGGCCTTCCAAAGTTCTGGGATTACAGGTGTGAGCCACTGCGCCCAGCCTAATCTCCTCTTCTTATAAGAACACCAATCCTATTGGACCAGAGCCCACCCGAGTGACCTCATTTACCTTAATCTCTTCTTTAAAGACCCTGTATCCAAATACAGTCACATTCTGAGGTCCTGGAGGTTACAACATTCATATATGAATTTTGGAGGTGCACAATTCAGCCCATAATTGGATAACTCATTCATCTGAATACTGCTGTGTTTGTCTGCTAGGACCGCCATAACAAAGTCCCACAGACTGGGAGGCTTAAACAGCAGACATTGACTCTCCCACAGTCCTGGAGGCTGGAAGTCCGAGGTCCAGGTGTGGGCAGGGCTGGCTCCTCCTCAGGCCTCTCTGCTGGGCTTGGAGATGTCATCTTCCTCTGTATCCTCACAAGGTCATCCCTCCGTGTGTGTCTGTGTCCTCATCTCTTGTTAGGAGGACAGCAGTGCTGCTGGATCCACCCTAGTGACGTCATTTTACCTTACTCACCTCTTAAAGTCCTCATCTTCAAATACAGACACACTCTGAGGTCCTGTGGCCTGGGGTTTTATCATAGGCGTTTCAGAATGGGTTATCATCTGTCTATAACAAACATTAATCATGTTTTCCCTGAGGTCTCCATGAAGAGCTATAAAAGCAGCACAAGTGGTTTTCAATCCGTGAGCCCTCCGCCATTTCTTAGTTGTCGCTGAGATCCTCATGAAGAGATCAAAACACCAGTGCACATGGTTACCGATCATTGGTCACTGCCAGCTCTCTTAGTTGTCACTGGCGTCCTGATGAAGAGAGAACAAGCCCGCACACGTGGTTATCAATCGCTGATCACTCTGTCATTTCTTCTCGTTGTGACTGAGATCCTCATGAAGAGACAAAAAGCCAGTGCATCTGGTTGTCAGTCATTGATCAGTTTGCCATTTCTCTTAGTTGTCACTGGTGTCCTCATGAAGAGCTATAAAACCAGCACAGGTGGAGATCAATCACTGATCATTTCGCCATTCTTCACTGTCCTCTGCACCCTGCTTTGGGCCAATTCACTTCCATCATCATCCTCTTCTCTAGACAGCCAGAGGGCCCTCCCTGGCAATGGAGATGAGACCTTCTTACAGGACTTGGAACCCTCCAATAGCTCCTTATACGCCTGAGGATAATAGAAAATGCTGCATATCAGCTTCGTGGTCCGGGCCCTCTGACCCACGCCCCCGTTGGTCCTTGTTCTCCGCCCACTGCTGCTACACTGGGAGGATTCATACTCCAGGAATGCTGAATGTAACCTATCACCTCCACCTCTGGCTTTGGCTCATGGACTTTTTCGCCTCTTCCTTCTTTGCCTTATTATTTTTAATTCAGTTTCTTATTGGAGACAGGGCACAGTAGCTACTTTGAGGGCTTTTGTGGGTGTTGGAGTCAGAGGTGACCTGAGACATTTAATTAATCATTGAAGCCCTGGTTTTCTCATTTTTGAAGCACATTTCTGTGTTGCAAAGGGAATTAGTGATAGTACATAGGTATGCCTTGTCTGGACCCTGGATGGATGGGAGCTGTATTCATTCTTGGTTATCGATCCACTGATTCCTGGATAAGTTCTTCCTGGCCATTGATCCCTGAGCTTATACAGTGCCCTTTCAAAAACTGCTGCCAGCCACAGGACTTGGCTTGCAGTATTAAAACACTCATTTCTTAGGGCTGATGTTTCTCATGGAGCTGCGAGTGTCTGAGGACAGAGCTTGCACTTTGTCAGCTGCTGGGCCCAGTACCTAGCAGAGTCTCGTGCGTGGGAATTGCCTGGGACTTGAATTCACAATGAACGTGTAATGCACTGAGAGCAGGTCATTAGGTCCACATAGACGTCTTCTGCCCCTTCACCTTCTTTGTCTTCTGTCTCCAGCTTCAATCCTTTCCTCTTTCTCTAAGCAGATGGGGCGGCTTATGTGCACAGCACTGTGGACTGGGCTAAGCAGTGTCCACCCTAAAACTCACATTCCTCCAGAAGTTGTGAATGGGACCTGCGAACCAAAAGTGTCTGAGACCAGTCTCAATCAATTTAGAAAGTTTATTTTGCCAAGGTTAAGGACATGCTCATAACACAGCCTCAGGAGTTCCTGCCAACATGGGCCAAAGGTGGTGGGGGCATAGCTTGCTTTTACACATTTCAGAGAGACATGAGACATCAATTAATACATGTAAGATGTAAGACGTACATTGGTTTGATCTGAAAAGGTGAGACTACTTGAAGCAAGAGAGTTGCTGGGGGTGGCATCAGCTCATAGGTAGATTTGAAAATGGGTTATGGGAAGAGGTTGTAGGGACCAAGGTTTCATTGTACAGCCGAAGCTTCCAGGTAGCAGCCTTACAGCCAATAGACTGTAAAT